AACGACCCTTTCACAGGGGTCGCCCGATTCATAACAGTAGCAAAATGACAGTTATGAAGTAGCACGAAAATAATGTTATGGTTGGGGATCACCACAGCATGAGGAACTGTGTGAAAGGGTCGCGGCCTGAGGAAGGTTGAGAACTGCTGCTCTAGAGGGAGTAGAACCTCGCCTTCTTTCTCCCAGCAGATCCTGCTGGCCTTGTGGATTGGAGCCCAAAACGTCACCGCTGCTCCCCGAGACACTACTTTGGAAGGGGGATCAAAACAGCCTAGTTGCTTGGTCCACTGCTGTTAAGTGTACTCGAGTCCATTCTGACTCTGGGCTACCCTCTGTCCAACGTTGTAGACAAAAATGCCCTCCTCACAGTCATTGCTTTGTTGGAGCCCATCATTGCAATGATTGTGAGGCTGGCACTGCAGTCCAAGCCCCGCTCTCACTCTGACAGCCTACGGTGTTTGTGTGAGTGCCTTCAAACATTCCCATTGTGCTTTTAATAGCGCTTTATTTGCATAAAACATCATAATTGTATTGACTGTATTGCGTTTTGATATTTAATGTGATGAGATGTTTTAGGGGTATGACTACAACTTAGGGCTGTTCACTTTGTGCTAAAGTTCTTGAAAAATGAATTCATAAGTGTAATTTTGGGGCTTCAGAACCAATCATTTGGTTTTCCATTATTTCTTAGGGGAAAATGGTGTTTTGAGGTTATTTTTATCAAGCATTTTATTGAGGGGCTCTTACAAATCTTATAACAACCTATTATTCAGTTGTATTAAGCACACTTCACATATGTTGCCATTAACATTTCCAAAACATTTTCTTTCTACTTGAGCCCTTGGTATCAGCTCCTCTTTCTTCCCCTCCTTTCACCACCCTCCCACCCTTCCACCTTCATGAATCCTTGATCTATTATTGTTATTTCATGTCTTACACTGTCTGTTATCTCCCTTCACCCACATTTCTGTTATTCACCCCCCTCGGGGGTGGGGGACAACCATATATCCAAATCAGTTGGTGTTTGAATACGGCTTTGGAACAAATTGATTTCGACAACCGAGGCATTACTGTACCATAAATTCCTGATGGGACCTTGTGGCTGAGAATCTACCTTATCTACCATCATCACTGAAACCATCAATTCAGCTGATGGGTTTCTGAATGATTTTATTGACGCAATGCCCATGTCTTCTGAGTTCCAGCTTAATTGCAGGTCCGGAAGCCATACTTGTTCCAGATTTGAAGTTCCAGCTTATCCCTCATGCCCATATTTCCGTTTCCTCCCACTCCTCCCTCTGACTGCCTTTTGAGCCCACCATCCGCACTCCTGGAAAAATACTTCCTAGTCGAGGCCGGCTGCTGCTCTCTACCGAAATGGAACCTCACCCGCACACCGTGTCAGTGTGCCTGGATAGCGTGGCCTTGGTTTTAGAGCCTCTACCTTGAGGTCCTCTACGTGATTATCGGTGTCAGAGGAACAAAATATGTTTAGTTTCTCCCCTTGAGGGAGTGGAAATCATCTTAAAACCTCAAGTGTCTTTCTTTGAGAGTGTCCCATCTTAGAGTTCTGGTGCAAAATTCCATTCACCAGAATATCCAGTAAGCTGAGATAACAGAGTGAGAAAGGCAGTGCTTTCTTTTTATAAAAACAAAACCAAAAAACCCAGGTAACCCTTTAGTAGCCACTCAGGTACATGATGTCATTGGTAATGGCCTTGGTCCAGATGACTGAAGTCAGCTGACGTCCAGAGCTAGGGTGATTTGGCGAGAAGGTGGTTTCCTAGCAGACTTGGCTTAGGATCTTCTTTCAGTCTCCTTCTGTTGGTGTTTGGTACGGACCTGTGTGCAGAAGCAGTGACACAGCTTGGAGGAAGGTGAACAAGACGAACACCATCCACTTTGGAGCCAGGGCTCCCTTGACCGCTGTGCCACAGTCTGCCAACTAATGGGTCACTCTGATTTCAGGCTGGGCATCTGACTGAATAAATGAGTCCATTACACGGCCCTGTTCCGGACCCATCTTCCCATCCATCGGAAACTTCCTTGGAGTTAAACTGCCCAGCTCGGGCCTCCTCTCCATAGTGCTCGGGACTGAGGCTCCGAATGGAAAGTTGCCGCAGCCGAATGCAGGAAATGGAAAGTCAGTTACTCAGCAAACATTTACGGACTTGGAAATGCTCAGAGCAGCTGTGGTGAATTGTGGGACGTCCATAAATCAGACACAATCCTGTGGGTCTTCCCTCGCTTGCCATTGTTTTTCGGCCAGGAGAAGTGAGTTTGAGGCTTGGAACAGGAAAAACGCAGCCCCTTTATCTTTATCCTTTTGCTTTTTCGTGAGCCTCTCATCGCAGATAAGGCATCGCACTTCCTTTTCTTGAATAGCCTAGTCAAATTACATATTTAGGAATTTCTAGGTGTCAGCTCTGAGGCATGAACACTTGATGCTAAAGTCCCTCAGGTGCGAGAAGTCCTGTCTGTGTTTGGGTCTCACCCGGTGCGATTCTGGCCTGACCTGCGCATGACACGGCTGGGGTGGGTGGGGGACACCAGTACCCACTTTGATCTGGTGCTTGGTTGTGTTTACAGAGCTGCCCAAGTCGTCAAGAAGGCAAGAAGACACAGACCCCCGCCCCCCCGGGGGGGCAGGGCCTCCTCCGACCATGTCTCCCATGGCCCAGGCAGACCGCTGGGACCGGCATGTCAGCAAGCTCATCTTCATCCTCTTTGTCGCTGGGGCCGTCCTGATGTGTGTGGGAGTCCTGATGTCCGTCTTCGGATTCCAAGCATGCTATTACGAAGCCCATACCAAATGCAGCCTGTTGCTGAAGGTGGCCGGACCCTCGTGCGTCGTGATGGGGCTGGGGGCAGTGATCCTGGCTCGCTCTCGGGCGCGGCTTCAGCTCCTGGAGGGGAGGCGGCGAGGCAGCCAGCAGGACCCGGACGCAGCCTTCCTCTGTGGGGAGAGCCGCCAGTTTGCCCAGTGCCTTATCTTCGGGGTTCTCTTCCTGACCAGTGGCCTGCTGATCAGCGTCCTGGGCATTTGGGTCCCCGGGTGTGACGCGTCCTGGACCCAGGAGCCGTTGAACGAGACGGACACCGCTGCTTCCGAGCCGCAGATCTGCGGGTTCCTGACTTTGCAAATCCTGGGACCCCTGATTGTGCTCGTGGGGTTATGCTTCTTCGTGGCCGCCCACATTAAGAAAAGAAACAGCACCGATGGGAGCCAGGATGCCGCGGCGAGTGAAGAAGGGCAAGCCCCGAGCACGGAGCCTGTCCACGTCACTGTAGGTTAGTGGCTGCCACGCGCACGCTTGCTTTTGTCCTCAAGTCGGCCCTGGGCTGCGCTCGCGGTTTGTCTCCATGGTCACGCACGCATGCACCTGCGCACTCGGCGTGCTGCTGCCGCGGGAAGCCTTGTATTCACCAGGCCCACGCTGCCCCCACCAACCACTCTATTATTTAGCAAAAGCCTTGGGACACTGTGTACTGACCTTGACTGAGATCATGCAGCAAATTAAGGGGAAATAGAGAACTTCGAAGATGGCCTTACTTCTCTCCTGTTCTTTGTGGTACCATTAGCTTTTGGACATATGGGTCTCATCCCAGGCTGGCTGTCTTTGGCTAATGCTTAACCTCTCCTGGCTGTAGTTGAACTGCTTTGGGCCATAGTTTATACATCTGTGAAAAAAGACAGCGAATTTCTAAGATTCCTCCCTGCATGACATTCCAGGATCCTGAGCCTGTCCCTTGGTTTGCAGGCACTCTGAACAGGGCCTTCTGCGCTGCTGCTTTCTGTCTGGTCGTATCTTGTCTGTAGCTAGCTCGGCCCTTGCAAAGCACCCTCCCGGCTTCATCCTTCACCAGGTGTTCCGGCAGTCGTTAGGGGGCAGACGGTAGAGCTCGCCAACATTACAGATGTTCTCCATCCTTTGGGGAACAGGGTGGCATCCAAGTAAGTGTACTCCTTGAGTGGTCTGTTCTCCACTTGAGGGGCACATTTCAAAGGGTGCACTCGGGCATCCTGGAAGGAGAGTTTCTGGCCCACTTGGAACGGGGTGGAGGGGGCAGCAGAGCTGCTGGTGCTGGGTGTGCGGTGGCCCTGGGTAGATACTGAGGATGGCATTGCATAAACCCTTCCCCTCTTAGTTGTTCAAGATCTGTCAGGTCGGCACCAATCTCATGCCTTGTTTCCCTCTGCTTTGGTTTTGTGGGACAAGATTCATGTTTTTTTAAATCACGCTTTTTTTTAAAGCATAGTACCAAAAAATTAAAACCAATCACTGCCATCGAGTGGATGACAGCTAATAGTTGACCCTATATAGACTTTCCAAGGCTATAAATCATTTTGGGAGCAGAAAGCCTCTTTTTCAAAGTGGCTGGTGGGTTTGAACTGCTGACCCTTTGGCTAGCGGCCCAGTGTGTAAGCCACTACACTACCAGGGCTCCAAGAATCTAGTCATGGTCTATTCTTTTTCAGTTCTGGCTTTGACCCTCAGAGAGAAGTGAGGTGATGGGACATGTTTTGTGCTTTTGCAAATCCTGCTATTCCCAGCACAGTAGATCTGCCAACAATGGGTTAACCAAGAAGTGGGGCGCTCCCACTGTGGACTCATGCTGCCTGCAGCCTCCGTGCTGGGTGCTGGGGGCATGCAGACTGGTGTATGAGGCGAGTCTTCCCTCAGTGGGCATCTACCATCACCTCACAAGGACCTCGAGTTCTGAAGGGCAGTAGTGACAGGGATGCCCCCTGGTGAGCAGATGGCTAGGGACAGATGAGGTGGAAGACTGGCGGGGCGGCGGAGATAACTGTGGTTGCTTTGAGCATTTCCTTATTTGCTTTTGACCGCTGGCTGTCCCGTCCTGTCCTAAAGGCTTATTTTGCAAGCGCCTTACTCCACAATGTGAGCTTAAAGGGAACACCCAACCTTAATTCCTCTGACCCACTCAGACCGTTTTTAAAATGGAAGAATTTTGCTTTTTCCCATTTGGGCTTTGATTGACGCCTCCCTGGAGAACAGGACGTGCATCTTCTGAGGGCTGCGCAGGAACTCCGGGAGGTGGTGGTGGAGTCTTCTGGGCACCACTAGCCAAGACTGCCTTCTGACTTACAGCAACTCTATAGCCAGGGCAGACCTGCCCCTGTGGGCTTCCGAGGCGGTTCATGTGTATGGGAGCAGAAAGTTTCATCGTGGTCCCATGGGCCACCTGGTGGTTTCGAACAGCTGGCCATGGTTAGCAGTCCAGCGTATAGCCAACGCCACTAGCAGGGCTCCTTTCAGGCATGGGGGGGGAAATGCCTGCCCCTGGCTGGTGGCATGTGGAGAGTGGGCTTTGCCTGTGAGGGCTGAGTGCGTTGGCTCTGTGCCTAAAGCGAAAATCGCTCAGTGCTATCACGTCTATTCTGACCCACAACAACCCTCTGGACCGAGTAGAAGTGCCCTGTGGGTTTCTGAGTGTCCATTTTTTAGGGAGCAGGATGTCTTAGCTTTTTCCCCGGGAAGTGGCTGGTGGGTCTGAACAGCTGACTTTGTGGTTCGCAGCCAAAGTCACAACCCGCTCCCAACCAGCACTGCTTTAATCCCTGGCCAGGAACCCTCTCACCTCGTCTTTTGAAATTGGGGCCACCAACTTACCAGGAACCTCACTCAGATCTCAGCATCATGGTGCTGCCTCATGTCTAGAATGTTCTTGGCAGCTTGTAAGGGACATTTTGTATTAGAATCAGAATATGCTTTGGACCCTGCACCCCGTCCCTGGTTTCTCCACCCCACAGCACACGGGTGTGTGTCTTCGAGTGAGCAGGGGCACCAGAAATCAACACCCTCCTTTTCTTTCTTTGCTTCCCCCCCCCCCCCCTTGTCTCTGAGCTGGACGTTCCTGTGTACAGTGTGGCTGGGTGCGGGGAGAGGAAGGCAGTGAAAGCCGGCTGCCCTGCCTGCTTGCCCTGGGCTGCCTTGTGTGTGGGAAGCATTGTTGCTGGGATTCAAGCACCAGCAGGCTGGTGTGGACAGGGGACAGCGGAACTTCTAGACTAAGACAGACTGATTTTTTTTTTTTTCAGTTTAAGAGCCTTAAACTACAATCGAGGAACCTGATCATTTATCTAGCAGCTCACTTTAGGTGAAATTTAAAAAAAAAAGCACTTTAGCAACAGGAGAAATTTGAGAAAGCTCAGGCACCATGTTAGCAAGCACCTCACAGAAATGCGTTAGCTCAGACTTTCTCTGAGAAATGGGCACCCGTTTAAATTCTGCAGCCTGTGGCAGATGTTCTGATCTTGTGTACGTTGCCGCGAGGTGCCGTAGAGTGAGCTCCGACTTGTCGCAGCAGCCGTATGTATAGCAGGATGAAGCACTGCCTGCTCCGGAGCCATCTGGCTCCGGTGTTGATGTTGGAACCCATTCTTGCAGCCCCAGTCCTTCCGTGCCCTTGAGGATCTTCCTCTTTTCCACTGATGCTGTTGGGAAAGGGTTGGGCTGCTCATTTTGGGTCCGGGTGTTCGAACTCACTCACCACTCTGCAGAAAAAAGACGAGTCTTTCTGACCCCTCAAAGATTTACTGCCTCAGAAACCCTGTGTAAGTTTCGTTGACTCGTTGGCAGGTTTTTGTTGTTT